AAAACTAGGAGTATTTAATTTAAAAATGACTTCTGTAGGCCAGTGTTATTTTAGTATCATTAAGATATTATTATAGTTTTAGTTAATATTTTAAATTAGTCTTCATTTTTATATTTTCTGTTTTCAATTTAATTTTAGTTAAAGTTTTAGTGATTTTGTTGTTTTTGATATGTCTAAAAATTTGAAATTTGAAACTAGCTGAAATAAAATGTTAAATTTTTTATATTTTATTTGTCGTTTCATTTAACATTTCAGGTAACTAAAATATTTTTTATGATTTTAGTTTTAGTTAACTATAATAACTGACCGAGATGATACAGACACATTTACATTAAATGCAGTCGATTAAATAGTGTTTGTGTATTTGATATCAGAGCTTTTTGTGCTTTTACAATGCAACCGTTTCTCCTGTTGTTCAGATCCAATGCACAGGCCTTGAAGACTCATAATTGTGGACAATATTTGTAGTTTTTGCAACTGGTCATATTTAAATTTGTCTGATGCAAAAACAATGGAGATCTCATTTAGAAAGACATTACTGATAAAACGTTGTTTTTCTTGCATTTGAAAGCTTTTTGTGCTTTTATTAAGCGCAGTGCATTCGGTTCTCCTGTGTTTCAGATCCCATGCACGGCCCTCGATGGCTGCAGGTCGTAGACATCAAATCCAAGCAGTTGACGGTGCGCTGGGAGCCGTTCGGATACAATGTGACGCGCTGCTACAGCTACAATCTGACGGTGCAGTACCGCTACACGGCTAACGGCAAAGAGGAGACGCGCGAGGAGACGTGCTACGATACTCTGAGCGCCGCGCCACAGCACACCATCCGCAGCCTGCAGCCCTACACCAACGTCAGCATTAAACTGCTGCTGCGCAACCGCGAGGGAGTCAAAGAGAGCGACGAGCTCGACGTGCTCACCGACGAAGACGGTCAGTCATGAGCATCCAGAGTCTTTTTATTAACAAAACTGCATTTCAACTGTATTTTATATGATTTTGCGTCAGCGTCAGACATGACATAAAAAAATACTCCTAAAAAAGCAATAAGCCCCATGAAGCCGTGGTTTACAGTGAATTTATAACAGCGTTGTTAGGTACAGCAACAAAGTGGTTGCCGAGCAGCACACAAACGTAAACAAAGGTGTATGTTACTTTGTAGAGTCATTTACAACAGCTTTGAACGCGTCTCAGCCAATCAGAATCAAGGACCGGAACTATCCGCTTTATAACATTCATTTTAAAGTTATATTAAGAGTCCGTATGAAAAACATTGACATTTTTTATAAAAAGTATTTTATAGGTATTTTTTATGATGTAGCTGTAGCATCATATATAATTCAAGTTTCATTTATAAATTGTCTTGGTATAAAAAAAATCTTAAAAACAAAAACATTTATCTTAATGTAATATTAAGAGTCTGTATGATAAACATTGACATTTCCGATAAAACTGTTTATTTATTTATTTTTTGTGTATGTTTTTATAATTTACTGTGGATTCAGACATGATTGACAAAACATTTTATTTAAAAATATTATTATTATTATTATTATTATATTAATAATTTATA